CGATGTTTTAGAAATCGTTCCGAATTGGTTGAAAGAAAGTTATTTGCCATAATTCATTTGCTACAAGGGGCGAAATTTGTCCTTTTGTACTTTATATGGCGTGTGGGGGGATGGTTTTAATGAAAAAAATTTAAAAATTAAGAAAAGAAAATTTTTTCATATAGTTTTTTTTTTCATTTATTTTGTAAATGTTATTACTGCTTCATAAAGCTTAAAAGGCAGTCGGAACATTCAGAGCTTCGACCTGATTCGAGCAGTCTTGTTTTATTTTGTTTCGCAGCCTATTCAACAAAGATGGAAACACTTCAAATGTTATCTCCAAAAAGCGTTCGAAAAGTAGCTACAAACATGAATAAAGATTTAAAATCTATAGGCAAGTACTCAAAATCAGACATTGTACCACACAATGAGCGACACCACAGCTCCGAGAGTAGCTCACAATTTTGGATGAAACTCAATTACAGTCCGTCGACCAAAATCTTTAATTTTTTTTACTACAGAAATCATGTACTTCAGATTTAAACACCTAAAACTTAAGTATATTTTTCAAGAAAATACATAATTTTTCCTCAGATACCACTTCAAAACAGCTTCTTAATCTTATAATTTAGCTTGGTGCGCGTCAAAGCTCGATTCATTGATTTTTAAGACTACCATAGTATTTACAAAAAAGGAAAAGTCTCAAACCTAACTTTATTTTTCTTAGAGCATATTTTTTCATTTAGAAAAGAGTATATAACACCAAAAATGCAGATCCGAACCAGTTCTATTTTCGGCCCACAATTGAAAATTAGGCCGGAACCCTAAGAAAAATGTATACCAACCTTCCTTTCCTCGTCATCGAGCAACGTATATAAACTACTGTTTTTTTTTGGTTTCGATCCCAGACTAATAAAAAGCTTTCTCCTGGCGAGCTAATGGACTCGTCTTTTTCTTCCGATCACAATACGATAGCACAAACCCCCTCTACGCCCCACTTGAGAATTCCCTCTTTGCGACACACCAACTACTCTCCTCAATTGCAGCAAAGATATATAGTCCAGGACCAATCGTCTGTAACCTGACACTCACACTCAGTCCGACACAGAATTAGAAGAGGAACTCCAAAAGTTTATTTGATACGTCACGTGTATAAACAACAACAACGACTATTACATCTACTAAATTAAACACATCAGCATCACAATATAACCGCGTTCAAAGTTTACAGAAAAAATCAGCACTTGCCAGACAAATCACTGTTAGGATCATAGTCGACCAGAACCTATTTTTCAACCCAAAACACCACAATACCCGCACTCAGTAAAAAGAGAAAATAAAGATTGTTTTACAAATACAATTGTCAAAACTATCAAAGTTATAATTAATTATAAGCGCCCAGTTTAGATGTTTATACGATTTATAATCCATTACAATGATAACATTTTTCGTGACATTATAATAAATTATAATCAATTATAATTCATAATAGCTTTTCCGAAAATCTCCTATAATCTTTTATAATCAATTATAATCTATTATAAGAGATTACAATCCTTTTTTTGTGAAAAACATCTAAAGTGAGATGTATTGTCACTCTTTGGCTCATTTGAACACAAAATTTTACCACGAAACAAAAGTTTCATAGTGATCCCTTCATAATAGTTGAAAGAAACATGCGGTAGGTGAAATACAACTCTTCTGAAAAAAGAATGAAATTAAAGCAGTGTGCTAATATTTTGGTTGTCATAAATTTAAAATGTGCATAATGAAACAACTATAATCAAGAAGAAATGAAAAAAAAAACGCTACAATCTGAACTGATTTGAATACTGTTAAAACAATTTTCCCATTTTTCACGTAAGCCAACGTCTAAAAAAGCTTAAAATATAAACATTTAGGGTGGAAGGTCGAAGACAAAATGGGCAAACAAAAGAAATTATATGCAATTATAATCGATTATAATGGATTTTTTCTGCAAAAGAATTAATTGAATAATTCGGAAAAAAATAATCGATTATAATCGATTATTAATGCTTGAAACTGAAGGCGGATACCGCTTTTCACCATTCAAACTTCCCACAATACTCACTTTATCATACACTTAACCTCTTAATGTTCAGATGTTAAAACTTCATTGAAATCAAATTTCACCAATCGGTACTCTCATTTTATTAAAACACTACCTGCCCAAAAACATTAAAACACTACTTCAATCATCTATAATAAACATCATTCTCATCGCATTAATCGAGACACCAACAATGCTAATTATGATAATTATTTTAAAAACCAGTTAACTGAGATTTTTTTAATCAATAGCGACTGTACTTTTGCCGCAAACTGACCATTATGTTTTAGTTTAATAAAAATGCAAGCAAAATAGAAAGCAAAATCAATTCAACTATTCTAATCTTTCGAAGCAACTAAAAAAAGTTGAATGCTTTACAAAATCCATTTTTACATCAAAATAAACCATACAAGCTCATACTATTATTTAACTCAAAATAATTTCCAACAGGGATATCAAACAGCCCATCGCAATTACAGATTTCTTTTTAACTTGTCAATCCTTTTTCTTGACATCATGAAAATCATCAAAAGTACAGAATGGCGCGGCACTATTCGTAGCTACGATTGCATTTGTCAAATTTTTTTTTAATTTTGCTTACATGCAGCCCCACAACAATGTTCTTTAGTCATTTACGAATGTATGCAACCTATTGAAAAAATATTATAATTTAACTACAAATTAATTACCACCCTACTTTGTATAAGTTAGAAAAAGTGGTTTCATTCAGAAAAATTAAAATTTAACCAAATACTTTCTAACTTATTTCACGAATACTCAGTATAACTAAATTCTGCCCATATCGAATATTCTCAAGACCGCAAAATTATCAACTAACACCTCCTCAGGAGAATAAACAGTTTTAAAAAATCAAAATGAATAATTGTTGGAGACAATTGGTTTATAGCAGCGATTATATAGATAATTTACAGATAAAGAATAGAGAAACTAAAATAATTTGAATGGTCGAAATTTGATGGTCGAATATTGTACAAAGCAAATTATATTCAAAAATTTAGATTTTCTATTTGAGAAAAAAAAGTTTGACTCTAAGCATTTATAGTTCTATTCTTTTTCATTTCAGTAGTTTTGAGTAAGAGAGTAATCCTAAATTTACCAGTAATACGTCACACAATTGTATTGTTCCTCGCAAAGTCTCATTAAACATATTCTAAAGAAAATCAATTAGATAAAACAGTCGAAAGAAAACACAATTTTTTTTCAAATCTACTTTTTTAGTCTAATAATTGCAATTTTTTGTCTAATATTTGTAAAGAAACCAATTTTTTTAAAATTCAAAAAAAAAAAAATTTCTGATTGGAGAATTCAACTAGAAAATGTTCAAGGTCATGTGAAATACAATATTTTAATCTACAGAGGAATATGAGTGACCTGTAAGAATGATCAGAGATATTTTGATCAGCAAACTCGTAAGCAAGGTACATTTTTATGGTTGCTCGAATAATCATTGCACAATTTGTTAAGCTTCACGATGAAAAATTTTTGATTCAGAAGCTGTTGAACAAACAATAGAGAAGGACACAACACAAACACACTCATTTGAAAAACAAAGTAAGCCGAAACAAAAACTCTTTAAAGTTTATCCAGAAATCAGTTAAACCCCAACTCCATTTTTCAAAAAACGGAATGAAAGCATTTTAGTCAATTATAAAAAATTTCATTGCTAACATGAGTTGTCCAAGATACACAAAGACATTTTTACTTAAACCAACATACTTCCACAAAAACAAATTTATATACAAACATACATACATTCATACATGTACACAGGCATAAATAAAACCATTTAAACATAATTACAAATATACCTTCCTACATCAAACATAAAAACAGACAAAATTACAAATATACACACAAATATCCAAACATACAAACATACTTACATACATACATGCATACATACACACAAACAAACATACACACATACATACATACATACTTACATACATACACACATACATACATACATACATACATACATACATACATACATACATACATACATACATACATACATACATAGATACATACATACATACATACATACATACATACATACATACATACATACATACATACATACATACATACATACATATATACATACATACATACATACATACATACATACATACATACATACATACATACATACATACATACATACATACATACATACATACATACATACATACATACATACATACATACATACATACATACATACATACATACATATATACATACATACATACATACATACATACATACATACATACATACATACATACATACATACATACATACATACATACATACATACATACAAACATGAATACAAACATGTTATGTACATATAAACGCCGAGTGAAGAATTTCCCATTGAAGGATCACTGTTCACCAGGAGCAACTCAATGGCATTAGCGAGAGAAAAAAAAGATAGTCTACAGTCTGACTCCGAATGAAACGCGAATTAAGACAACGAACCACATTTGAGAAATCTTCCAAAAATCATTAAAAACAGTACTATTATATGTTTCAGCTTTTCAGACCTTATCTGCCGATTGATTCGTTTCCCAATGAACGATCATAGTATTTGAACAACAACTAAACGACACTAACAGAAGAAAAACACAGCCGACAATCTGATACCGATTGAACATGAATTTAAAGAGAGCTTCACGCTCGAGATCTGTTTCAAAAAACAATAAAAACAATTCAATTACAAACATTACTATTTTGATTTTCAAGCCTAATTTTTTGAATGAAAAATAAAATAAGTTGAAGGGAACCTAGCATATCAAAGCATCAGATTTTACTTTTTGGTTCTTTTACTTCTCTTCCCGCTTGTTTTTTTTAGATCTGATTTTCTAGATGAATTGCTAATAATTTTATTTATAAATCTGAAGAACTTATTTATTTTTTATAGATCGAGTCAGAGCTTGGAAAAGAATTTGTGTATAGCCTGGAAGGAGATTCGCCCGGTATAGCACTGGTAATAAACAACGAGTTCAAAGGTCAATCTCATTTTCAAATTGTTTTCATATTCAAAAAATCTTAAGACAATTTTCTGGCCAAAACTGATCAAAACTGCTACATTCGCTAATAAAGGTATGTTTTAATCATTAAGCTCTCATACTTTGTTTATTATTTCGTTTGCCTTAGAATGAACATCAGATTATGTCCTTACCGACATGTGTTTACAATCAATTTCAAAGAAATATAATTCTACGAAAAAAGCGATCTCGATGCTGAAATTTTTGTAAATTTTTTAATTGGATATTATTTTATTGACAAACATTGTATCTTTTTTTCAAGGATATACTAATTAAAATGATAATTTTTGTTCTGGCAGTTTTCAGTTCAAAAAATGTTTTTCAAGGTCAGACATACGAAAACGGGACGTCTGCCGAAAGACATGGATCTAGTCATGACTATGATGAACTGATTAGACTCTTGGAATCCATGGGTTTTGAAATATATGAGAAAGGCATGACAAATAATCTGAAAGTTTCCGAAATGGAGGAAACAATTAAAGCTGTAGCAAAAAAGAATAACTCAGAAAAGACGTTTGGATGTGTTCTTCTTTTCATCATGTCTCATGGAGGGTTTGGATGCATCTCGGGAAACGACTTGGAATCGAACTTAAGATTGCAAATCAGGGATCAAATTAACAGAAATCGCTTTGCGTAAGGAAGAGTCTGTTAGGAAATCAAAACAATATGAATGCCCTGGGTGGATGTTCATACAAAAAAATGTCTTTCATACAGTTTCATACAGGGAGTGAAAAATAGTGATCATGCATTTTTATTTTTTGAAAGTTGTGACATGAAATTTTTTTCTTCATGCAAGTTCAAATCTAGGCTCAAAAGAACAGTTTAGTGGGAAAATTTTCAAACAATTTTGGATCCCTACTATAGATAACGTAGTACTGGCTGAGTTTTTCACAGAATAAATCCAGAATCAAAATCATTCAAAATCAAAAAATCACAAGTTTCTTCTAAGTAAAAAAAGCATTTGCCTAGAGATAAAATCAAACTCTATCAACCACCGACTTATTCTAAGATAAATTTTTCTAGCCCAATACAAAAATTTAGGTCTTTGTTATATATTTATGGGTGTATATAATAGGTGTATATAATATATAATATATAGTGTATATAATACTCTAACAGTTATTTGATTTGAAAACATGAGAAAATGCAGTTTAACTTTGCGATAACGGCCCCTGACCGCATGGATTTTTATGCAAGAAAATATCATCAACTGTTAAGGTATCCATGAACGCTAAAGTATACTAAAAACACAATTTTTCAAAGTGAAACTGTTTGTATTTTCTCTAATGGAAAAGTTGAATGACAAACTTTTTCGTAGAATGAGAAAACCTCAACCATTCAACTTCTTATTGTAAAAATGAGTGTTTTTTATTTGGTTTTTGTGGCAAATGTAAAGGCAAAAGATTCGTTTTTGTTTTCAAACAAACAATGTGTCGAAAAAAAGCTGATTTGGCTACTTTTATAAATTTTATTAAACTCAAGTTAACTGACAAAAATTTTTTCATGGTTTGAAATTTTATAAGATCTTTGTCAAACCAGGATAGTAATTTTAAGCGCAAAAATTGGAAAAATTAAGTAAATTAGTAGCATTACAAAAAACAGTGAACGTTAAGGATCGGTAAGCCAAAAGGTAATCAATATCAGAGTTTAATTCAGTTATTTTTTTCTAACAGCTCTTTTGCACAACCGAAAAAAATTTTCCATCCATTTGGGAACTGATTTTGAATAGTTCTTTTGTTTGAAAAAAGGATTGAAGTATTAATACTGCGGTTTACTGAAAAAAGGACAATCGAAGACAGAGCCTCAAAAACGCAAGAAAACGTGTATTTAAAATTTGTAAGTTTACCTTTAATTATCTGTATGAATGTTAATCTGATCCTCAAAACAGCGATATTATTGAAAAGTTCGTTAAAAACGAATTTTGGAAAGAAAAACCCAAGTTATTTTTCTTTCAAGCGTGTCAAGGGACGACATTGGACCTCGGAATGGATCGTCTGCCCAATTATATAGCAGGTACAACCTATTTAGGAATTGAAGGTATTGGTGAGGGTACAAAATTCTCTAAAATTAATCCGAAGTCATAACAACTGAACCTAAGGCAATAAATTGATCTATATGAAGCAATTAACCGACTTTTTTTTTAAAAAAATTTAAGATTGATGAAAGTAATTTAGACTCTAATACAGAACTAATACTTTTACTCTTATGCAAACTCTTATACAGACTCTTTTTACTCTTTTTAGAATCTTATACAGAACTACTTTTACTGACTCTTAAAAACTTTGAAAAAATCAGTTGACTGATGAACCTGTATAAGAATCTGAGCTACTTATGCGCATTTGTTCATATTTGCACAAATTCATAATTCAGGAAAAGTCTTGACCTGCTCTAATAACAAAAGAAGTTATAAAATTTCTAATAACGTTTTTTTTTTCACGAAAAGTCTTTATATTCTCTAATAACAAAGGAAATGCATTTATACTTATATATGCACAGACGAACTAGTGCATATTTGTGATTTTTAGTTGAAATTATTTTTTTATGTTTTTTGTTAGGAATACAAGGCAAAAAAAATAATCTAAAAGGTGCAGTTAACCGATTTTTTAATACTTATTAAGAGTCAGTGAAAGTAGTTCAGAATCTTATACAGGTCGTGATGACTTCAGGAAAAGTCTTGATATAATCTATAAACAAACTTTTTTAGTCGTTTTTTTTCAGGAAAACTCATGATATTCTGTAAAAAATAAATGCATTTAAACTTTTATATGTAGTGCAGTTATTCGTATAAATACATTGAACGATTTTTTGAAAAATAGTAAGAGCCGATGAAAGTAGTTCACAATCTTATACAGTTTGTGATGATTTCAGGTAAAGTCTCGATATGCTCTTATAACAAAAGAAGTTATGAAATTATTAAAACTCGATGAAAATAGTTCAGACTCTTATGCAGGTCGTGATGACTTCAGGGAAAATCTTGATATGCTCCGAGAACAAATTTTATTAATTTTTTTCAGTTGTTTTTTTTTTCAGGAAAAGTTTTGATCTTTTCTAGTAACAAAAGAAGTTTTAAAAATATAAGGAGTCAATGAAAGTAATTCAGATTCTTATACAGGTCTATTAATAAAATGTATAGGCTCGTAATGACTTTTTTTTTATTTTTTCAAGTTATTGAAAACTTTACTGAAATCTAAACGTAGCAATTAAATCAGGTACAGCTACCTTATAAATCATATTTTAAACATAAAACAAAACTGACACTCACACCAGCAACGTTTTAATCAAACGCTTTCGACCAAACACTTAGTAAATGATGAAGTTTACACCACAAAGCTATCCTATTTTGATGGTTATCACGCTTTCTTCTGGTCAATCGTTTCTAAAAAAAAATGGCATATTTTTTGAATCACGAAACCTTGCGCAGAATTCTTTTGGTTCCGCTCAATGAAGTGACATATAACTCAGGCATATGTTTTATATCGCTCCGGTCGCGACGGTAATTTTGAATCCTAGCAATAGCGAAGAAAACCGAGTACCGACAAAGGGATAACTTTTTTCTGCGCCGCGCCATTCTAGTTTATTGTTGCACTTGTCAGCATACTAATGTTTTTGTTAGCTGAAATTCGATCTGACAAATGTTTCAGTTGACACAACCGCTGACTGTGGATCTGATGGCCCCAACGAAAACAAAGTTGGATCACTCGCAGATATTTTCGTGGCGTTATCATCCAATACGCCCTACCGAAGCTATCGCTTACACGGAAACCCGGAAACGGATGGCTCGTTTTTCATACAGAATCTAGTGAAAAGAGTCAGAGCACATGGAAACAAGCTCGACCTGACACAAATTATGACTGCGACAATTCGTGACGTTGGGATGCTCGATTTGGAAATGAGGACAAAGGAAAATGGAAAAACCGTGACTAAAATAGTGAAGCAAAATCCGTTGTACTACAACCATCTGACAAAGTTCTTCTTTTTTCCAGATATTGTAAAGAAGTCCACAGGAGATGATACCAAGAACGAGTCGTTTTGATGAAACCATGCACAATCTATTCATTAGGAGATTTGTCGTTTTTAGTTTGTTGTGTTTTTCTGTTTTAACCACTTTGGCACATCAAACTATCCTGAAAATCAAAATCTTTTCAATTTTGATATAAAAAAGGGATTTCAACTAGCAATTGACAGGTTCTGTTCGCAACCTTTTTCGATAACTAAAATCCATGCTTTGTCAAACTCTTTAAACAATTTTTTTTTTAAATAAAATCAATTCACTGAATTGCCCAGCTGCTACCGTCTACGCGAGAAAACGTTCATCATAATATATGTAGTTTTTATTTAAAAAGGTGAGTTACCCTATTTCATAGTGGTGAATTCTGTGAAATGATTCTTTTGTGAGTCTAATTGAAAGTGTTCGGACAAACACGAGGCCAAACCGGCTTAAACTCCATACAACGAAAGTTCTTATTATACAACTCCGTACAAAAAAGATTATCACACAGTTCCATGCATGCGTTCTACGGAAAAAACCTTGATCACACAGATTCGCAATTATGAAATATGATTAGCTTTTTATCCACTCTTTCATTTTGCTCAAAAATCCTACCAAAAAGGGTTCTTAATTACATTTGAATGAGCTTACAATCGGTTTCAATTGAAAAAGAACATAATGGTCATTAAATTTTTTTAAAATTTGGGCAGAAAGTTCTTCTCATAAGATTTTCATTTTTTCCATGCAAAAATTTTAAATCCATTTTAGTCGCCAAACTACTTTCACAAAAAAAAAATTTCCACGCGCAGACTTTATGCATCAAGGGTCACATTGAAGGTTCTCTGTGATGGCAGTTTTTTACTTTTCAGCTTTAGGGGATAATATAGAACCTCAATCTGGCCAAAGTCAGGCCACGATTTCCAACCTCTGAGTTTTTCAAAACAGATGCCTTGTATCCATATACAAATTTTGTATTTTTTTGTAAATACAAATTTAAAAATTTTTCTTTCTAATTTTGAGTGAATTTCAATTATTGAGTGATGTAAATAATTATTAAGTGATGTAAATTATTTTGTAAATACAAGTTTGTAACTTTTCTGTTCTAATTTTGAGTGAGTTTCAATTAATAAGCGATATACGTAGTTAGCAATATGTAGTTATTTTTAGCAATACGTAGTTATATCTGAATTCAATGGCGTATCACCTGTTGAGACTCTGAGATCAAAAATCTTTAATTTTTGTGTTTAGGTGAAATACAGAAACAAAGCAAAACACCAAAAAGTTACGTGAAAATAAAGCTTGTCATACAATTAGAGACAATGAAAAAAGCATGTCATATAATTCCATTGTATGGAAAACACTTGTCATGCGAATTTTATTTGGTGTTTTGTTATGGAATTGTATGAAAAGGTATGATAAGGATTTTTTTCATAGTTTGGAATTGTATGATAAGCATTTTGTAATTTTTTTGTGCTTCGCCTGAACAGAAAAACTATAAAACTTCTCATTTGAGAGCGTCAACATAAGCATTTTTTCGTCAACCCGGGAAACTGTTTATTTTGGTAATGAAAATTGAAATACGCAACAAGGCCGCTTTTTCTGATCTTTTACTGTTCTTGTGCTTCCTCTTTCTCTTGTCGACAAAGTTTTAGCTTGTTTAAAGACTTATTTCAGTGTCCTGTATACTTTGAACAATGACCTGCATACTTTGAACAATGACCTGCTATCTTTTCACTATCTAGTGCCCAGGTTGGCCTTGTAACTTATCTCTGCTTCTGAAACTTGGTTCAAATTATTCAAAAGTATGGCACTAAGAAGTAAGTTCTTGTTTAAAATGTATGCGGATCTCCGTATTTAATGCTTAAATTTTAGATGGAGAAAGTGACATGAACAGAGCGGTTACTTTGTAACCGTAAGTTTTTTTCATTTTTATCCCGAGTTGACCTCCATACACGAAAAATTTGTATCATACAATTCAAATCAATTCATGCTTATCGTAAAATTTCATAAAGGGACTGTATGGAAAAATGTCTAAAATTCAAAGTACAATGAATTTTTTCTCAAACTTTAGACGCAACATCAATTTCAAATTCAATTCAATTTTATAAAAAATTAGAATGATCAAAATTATTATTTTTTCTCTATCACATAGTCTGGTTTGAATTTTTCATACCAAAAAAAAACGACTAAGACATTTTTTTCACCAAAGAAAAATAAATTTTCCATACTATCGAGTTTCTTTTATCAAAGAAGTGTTCATACCGAAGACAAATGTCTTTAAGCGAATCCAAACGTGAACTTTTCAAAGTTTTTATATTGTATGATACATTTTTTCTTTATGTTAAAAAAATTTGTTCGTGATTTTATGAAAATTTATGACTAGCTTTTTTTTTCATTACAAAACTTTCAAAACTTTCAAAACTTGCTATCATTTTAGTCGCTGAACTACTTTTACCATCAAAATTCTTTTTTTTGCATGCAAAATTTTCTACGTTTTACAACGTCTGTACAGCGTAGTCCTTGCACAGACGTGATACATAAAAGCGTCAAGGGTCCCAGTTTGTAGAATTTGTACTTTTCAGTTTAAGGGGCGAACATAGATTCTAAATAATCTAAAAAACAGAGCAAGATTCTCAACCTCTGAGACTTTCAAAATTCATGAATCGTAGCCATCTGCTAAATATTTTTTTTCTAATTTTGAGTGAAGTTCATTTCTTATGTGATATACGTAGTGTGTTAAAAGTATTCAAGATAGTGATTTTTCCGATAATAACTCTTCCAACAAAAGTTTTGAAAAAAGTTCATATCACACTAAAATAATCTTTAATAAAGAACAGTCTTGAAGCTTTCCGCTATGCAGTACAATTTTTACAGAGGCAAATAGCGGTAACTCATATCATAGGACACAATTAGCAATTTGCTAGACAAGTTTGATGAAGGAACAGCTAATTGTTTAAGATATTTACCTGAACACCGCATAAAACACATTCAAATTATATTACTTTATTTATCATAGCTGATTAATCTCTGCACAAAATTGTGAATGGCTAAAATGTGTAATTAAGAGATTTATTGCAAAAGAATTTTTTTTTGTTCGAAACATTATAACCACAGTCTGGAAATTATTGAAAGCATACGCTTGAACAAGAGCAAAAAATCTCAAAAATGATTCTGATCCTGTATTACGGATTAGAAACACCCACACAGTTTTATTAGCAGTTTTCTTTTTTTAGTGTTTTTTTGGAAAAGTTTGCTATCTTAAATTTTTTATACCATTTGCAGGGAATTTCGACGATCTTAATTTTTTTTCATCGCAAAAAAATTTAAGATAGCAAATTTTTCGCAAAAACAAGACACTAAAAAAAAACAAAACTGCTAATAAAACTCTTGATGAAAAAAGTAAGATCGTCGAAATTCCCTACAAATGCTATAAAAAAGGTAGTCGATCAGTTACAAGCAAATTAATCAATTAGCTTTTCTCAATTATTTTGCATCGCAAAAATGGTTCGCAGTACTATTTCAGCTTTATATTACGAATCTATAAAGCGCATAGTGTATTGCAAAAAAAAAAACTTTTTGTTCAATTTAAAATCTTCAGAGATAAACTAAAAATTTTTTCAGGTGAGCTAAACTCTACAATTGAATTCAATGAGTCAATTTCTTCAATGTGGTTAATTTTTTTTAAATTATTTATTCTGGTTGATGCGTTGGGTTTTCACTAAATAAATCGCTGGGACTTGTTTAATTCTCCTGGTTGAATGTTCGAATAAGTATCAAAGATGAAAATAATCAAACACTCCATGCTTACATAATTTGTTACAGCTGTTAAATTATTTCTTAATAAAAAGCATCCTATGGAAAATTTTACAAATCTCAGCGAGAAACTAAACGCGTAAGAAAACTGCACAAACCCGAACTGATTTTTTTAAAACGACCAGGCTTCCTTGCAGAAAGATTCAGCGCTACTCTGATCTCACTCAATACAAATGGAGCTAACCTAATCCGCATAAAAACTAACGAAGAAAAAACGTAGTCTCAAATTTCAGACAAAAAACAGGGTTGTTACAAACCACAAAACATGATAACTCAATATTATATCAGTAATTGATATAACTTTATCCAAGCAATACGATATTTTTGAAACATTTAGTTTTTTGGCGACAAAAGGACCACCAGGCTATATTGACAACTACTTAGAAAATTACTGGTATCTGCGTTTCCGATCGTTCAACCCATAAAATATGTTCTCGTCAATGGTGTTAAAACATTAGGAGCTGAGCTGCATCTAAATTCAGTAGTTTTGAGAGGTTTTTATAGTGAGTAAGAGCGGTTTTTGTGTGTTTGGTTTTGTTCGGTTGAATGTTGTTCGCTAGATATATTGACAAATCTGTTATTGCAATTGATCGAGGTTTAATTACATATTGTGAGAGATTCTTCCTATTCAGGGAAACAGGTCTATCATTCATTTGTGCATCGGTTCTAATAAGTGTGCAAACTGTTATTGTGCTATCTGTCCAATGGTGAGTTAACGAGAAGCTTGAACGAGTCTTCAATAAGCTCGATTCTGCCGCAAAAATCAATATTGCTTTGGGTTTTGTTCTTCAAAAAAGTGAGACTGGTGAATATCGATAATTCTATACCCATGAAAACAACTCTTTGCTTAAAAGATCGCACTCACTGTGTATGAAACCGGATTTGATAACAATCCAAGGAAAGGATGAAAAATTAGATATTGTAGAGCAATGTACCCAAGAACGTCAAAACACAAGCTGGAGATTCAAGTTGATTATACAGGTTACAGTTTTTGCCTCTTTGCTCAAAATATCCCAATGGGATGTCTGCACTCCCTTCACTACGACATACGCAAGTTAACTGTCTTTTATCTAACAAAGACAAGGAACCACAAAAAGATCATTCGTGTCTTTTCCGCGCTTGCCCATGTGCATGAACGGACATAATGAATTCGACTCTCACCCTTCTAGTTTAATTTACTGAATTTGAATCAAAGTCAAGTCATGATCTCTAAGGTTTTCGTGGAGTTCCACTAAAGACCTTGATGTTGTCAAAAAATTTGAGCAAAGAAACATCTTTACATACGATTTCGATATTCAAGAAGGAGAATATGTAGGAAAATTAGCTCGACAAAGTTTTGGAAAATTTGATTGATAAAACCGTTAACCTACTGAGTTTTAACAATAATATCAATCGTACAAATGATACAGATAGTTTCTTCAAGTGCCTCCGATGCCCTGGCTGTGACACCTTTCTCCACAAATCAGACCACTTCAAGCAGCATCTCCTGAGTGAGACATATTTATCCCAAGAACGTGTATGAGCTACCCGAAACCTTGTTTGGGAAGCTACAAGAATTCAATCTTCAGTTTCTGAAAAAAAAACAAGTTTTTCAATAATCTAACAGTTTTCGATTCTGAGTCGACTTGTGTTCCTACAGAATTAACAGAAACACAAACCACAAGCTGGCTTGGAACACATACTCCAACTTCTTTCTTAATATTATCAAATTCGGTTGACGAACCCATCTTTTTGTACTACAAGGATCCAAAGAACTTGATAACTGACTTTAAGCAACCTCGAACTGTTGGCTGAAAAAGTTAGAGAGATGAGAACAAAATTTCAGGATATTGAAGAAGCTGTCAAAGAACGAATGAAGAAGATTTTTGATCAGCTAACCAAACGAGGTAAAAATTATTCAAGTAAAATATTTGAGTACAAAGAAGAACGCATTGAAGATTCGGAAGAAGCAGATAAGTCAGCACAATTCTTGGGAGTTCAGAAAAATCGACTCATTTGTTTGAAACAACATTTTGACAGATATGTAAATACTTTACTTTTGGATTTAATGGCTGTGATATGATTGGAACTTGATCAAGTCCTACTTAATCCCTTGTTTGATTCGCGATAAAGAAGAAAAAACATCATTCACAAAAAATCGAAAAATTTTTGAGTTTGGAGATGTACATTTTCTCGACATAATGAAATTTCTGGGTGAGGAAATACCCTAGACTCTTTTCTCAAAGCCTATTAAGTTAGCAAAACGTAAGGATTCTTCCCCTATGAGTGGTTTGACAACCCAGA